TCGTAAAATTCAAGTGCTTTCGAGTAGTCACCCATGTTGTTATACACGTTACCGATGTTGTTGTAGGAAGTAGCCAAATCGGGATGATTCGGAGGCAGAGATTTTTTCGTTATTTCTAAGTCCTTTTCGTAAAATTCAAGTGCTTTCGAGTAGTTACCCATGTTGTCATACGCAAGACCGATGTTGTTGTAGGAAGTAGCCAAATTGGGATGATTCGGAGGCAGAGATTTTTCGTAGATTTTATGTGCTTTTTCGTGAAATTCAAGTGCTTTCGAGTAGTTACCCATGTTGTCATACGCAAGACCGATGTTGTCGTAGGAAGTAGCCAAATCGGGATGATTCGGAGGCAGAGATTTTTCTCTTATTTTAAGTGATTTGTCGTAAAATTCAACTGCTTTCGAGTAGTTACCCATGCTGTGATACGCTGCACCGATGTTGTTGTAGGAAGTAGCCAAATTGGGATGATTCGGAGGCAGAGATTTTTCGCAGATTTTATGTGCTTTGTCGTAAAATTCAAGTGCTTTCGAGTAGTTACCCATGTTGTCATACACTCCACCGATGTTGTTGTAGGAAGTAGCCAAATTGGGATGATTCGGAGGCAGAGATTTTTCTCTTATTTTAAGTGATTTGTCGTAAAATTCAACTGCTTTCGAGTAGTTACCCATGCTGTCATACGCTGCACCGATGTTGTTGTAGGTAGAAGCCAATGAAGAGTGATCTTCCGGAAGAGTCTTTCGCTTGATTTCAAGTTTTTTTTCATAAAATGAAACTGCTTCTTTATATTGTCCTTGATCGTTTTTCAAAACCCCAAGCATATGATATATATGTGCTCGATCACTGTCACTGGACGAGTTCTTCAGTAGTTCATTGTAAAGTTCTTCAGCTTGATTTAAGTGACCCACTTGAAGCATTAGATGGCCCAATCGATGCCATCCTGTGGATCCAAAGAGCTCCCCTTTTAGGCGCTCAGTAAGAGAAGCCAATTGTGGATCATTGTCGCCTGTGAGACTTAATTGTACTTCCCATAGGCGACTGTTGCTGACTGCCTGCTTGATATCATCGACACGAAAAACACTGTGCATTGAAAATAAAATTTCTTTTTCGCTTTCGATAGCACTGTATTCATCGATGAGGGCAAATGGAGTAGTTGAAGCTGAAACTTTACTTGGATCAATTGTCATGATGAAAAGGACACCCACGATGTCTTTATTCTTGTGCATGGCACGTTGAACGAATTCCATGGCTACCTGTTCTTTTTTACTTGTCGATAAGAAATTGTTAAATGAGAGCAGTCCGCCTTTTAT